AATTAAAAGCAGAGGCCAGAGAAAAGCAGGCAGAACGGTTGCCACATGATTGACTCATGGACAGAGAAGAAAAAGGATTTGAGTAAGAAATACAGATTCTAAGAAGCCTCTTTGGAAATGTAGAGGTCATCAGAAAGAGCACGTTCAGGTTGCAGTGCCGGCTTAAAAGAATCACGTTCCTTCCAAAAATCCTGTTGCTAAGAAACAGTACCTAGCAAATCTGTGAGTAAAATAAGATAAAGATAAAAAAGAAAAGCCAAGTTGATTTCTATTGCTATTACAAAGATAAACGCTAAAGGTACTACACTCTACCTGTAGTGTAATGACTTACAGTAGATGAGGTGGTGGATGTTCACCACTGCACCAGTTTTTGAGAAATCTCAAGCCGGTCACTTTTAATCTTACCCAGCTTGAGTAGTTAGGCTCTTTCCCCTCTACCTCATCATAATTCTTCCATTGCAGGGGCTACTAAGCATGCTAGGCTATTAAAAGAGTGAAGGGATTGTTATGTGAAGGTAATCATTGAACAGTTACAATAAACCACAAACCCCCCTTAGAGTGGTTTAACCCAATACATTTTATTTTTCATTCACAACATTCATTCCTAGTGTTCCTGATCAGATAGTATATTAGTCAGCTTTGCTGCATCCACAAAATTTTAGTGACTTACAACAGGCTACATTTTATATTAGTGGCTACAGATGCTGTGTCTCTGCTTGATTTTATTTGCCTCTGCTCCATGTTTATCCCTTGACCTAGGCCAAGGAATAATCGTAAGTATGTGATGTACCACTTTCTTAGTAGAAAACAGAAGCTACAGAACTAGAAGAGTCTCACAGTGCCTCCAAAAACTTCTGAAAGGTGATAGTCTACATCATGTTTGTTCACATTTCTTTACCTCAACTATATTACACTGCTGATCTTAACATCAGTAGGTGGGAGACCTACAAGGAAGTGAATGTATTTGTGAACAATAATGTAACTTATGATGAGTCATTTTCTTGGGAATTTTTTTTCCAAACTGAAACATGGGGATCTTTCCTCTATTGGGCAGCACTATTATCTAGGGTACCTTCGAGATGGAGAGAAAAATAGCTGACAGGAAACTTGCTTCAAAGCAATAGTGAAGAAGTATGTCTATGGGGAAAGGGATGTTTTTAATCCAAAAGCAAGTTCAAGGAAAGACATCAAGAAAGGGAAGAGCTATAAGTCATAGTTACGTCTTAGCAATTGCTGACCCTGCCCATGGTGCTCTGTTGACTGGGTCATTCATGACACTCAGAAGAATCTCTCTGACTATCAGACAAAGAAGAGGCACCAACAATTTGTTCTTCTCTTCACAATAATTCACTGGCTGCCCCAGGCAATGATGAGTAGACAGAACCCCTTTTTCTCTGCCCCAGTCAAATGGCAGGCAACTTGGTGGGTTGCTGAAGCTCAGCCTTCTGGTTCCTGCAACTGCTTGAACATATACATCTGTTTCTTCACTCTGTAATTATAAGTAGTTCTGTTCTTAAATGAACTCTTATTTTTATATTTATTATGTGGCCTAAGGGTCACAGGGGCAGTAGAAAATTAAGGAACTGCAGTGAGCCAGGGGATCATCTTTGCTGAAGAAAAAAAAATTATCTTTAAGTTTGGGTAAAAGCAACAGAAAGTCAGACTGTGAGAAAGCAAAAGGTAGAATGCATGAGGGGAAGTCATCAGTCGTGAGAGGTTATGCTTACCCTAGCCTGGAGCACTACATCCTAATGTGTCACTTGGTTAAATAAGAAGTCTGTGCTGCTAGAGTAAGATTCAAATATGCAACAGAACCTTGTGGAAATAGTTTGCTCACTAGCATCTCAGTTTTATGTGTCCCCCAGTGTCTATCCAAATTCCAATTTCCCATGACTACACTCCAGATACACAGAAAGTCATTATTTGTCTATTTATTTGTTTAGAAGCCTCACATCAATTATCCAGCTTTAAATTGAGAGCCCAAAGCTGCTTAAATTGCCCCTCTAGTCTAGTTAAGTCCCAGAGATTCCAGAAACTCTGAGGAAAGCTACATGCATGTGGGCCTGGAACTTTGAGAAATTACATGTGTGCATCAATGAGGAAAGAATACCCTTGGCTAAAGGCAATTGCTTATCATGTCCCCTCAATTCTTTATGTATTTCTTCCCAAAATCACTCTGTCCATTCCTTGGCTATTTAAATGTCATTACTATTCTAGCCACAGTAAGTTTTTGACATTCTGAATGAACAGTTTGCTTGTATGCCCCAAATGGGAGGGGACATGTCAAGAGGATGCTCCTGAGAGAACATGGGAGGACATAGTATGTGAGACTGTTTGAGTCATGATTGTGACAAGTTTGGAGGCAGCAGCTGTATTTCTACAGTAAGAAATAAACTTCCAAATCCCCGTAGCTTCATGAAATGACTGGTGGGGAGGGAGGTATGAGTTTGATAGGCCACCTTATGAGTAGATCATATAAGAACCCAGACCCTATCTAGTTTGGGGGCCCTCCCCCTTCTAGAGGCTCAGATTCTTCTTCATTCAGGCTACAAATGACAAAAGGGACAATGGATTATGAGCTGGGTTTAGAAATGGCCTCAATCACTTCTGACCATTCCTTTGGCTAGAACTCGCCACACCCACCCCACCTAACTGGAGATGGCGGAAGGTTGGGTAATCTAAGCTAGCTGAATGATCAGGAAAATCAGGACAGGAATGTAGTAAACCATCAGTCAGGTTTTGCAACAGACTAGTCCTAAAATTGGGCAGGTAAAGCCTCTTTACTTTGGATCCTCAGTGTTCACAAATTATTGCCGAACACATTATTTCCCACTGCTTTTCTGGGAGATGATGCTTTTGCCCAGGAAGCCCCAGCAATGCTCAAAATGCTAATGGCAGGCTTCTCTCCCACCCATTCAGTCCTCACCCCCTCCTACTCAGTAAAGATATTGCTGGTGGCATTGAAGTGTTGCTTCGGGTGCTGGTGGGATTAGTAAATGATGGGTTATAAAATATTGCTTGGGACACTGAATTTATACTTTTATCACTGTCCACTTTTTCAGCTTTTTTCTACAACCACAGTATCTAGAACTAATTTCTTCCTGTTTTTTTCCAGTCTACAGCCTGAGCTTATTTTAAACCCTAGTGCCCACCCTGAGGGCTTCCTGACACTCATTCTATGGGTAAGACAGTATGCCAACTGGAGGATATAAAATATTTTAAAAATAGCATTTCTGTCCCCACCCATAACTTTCAGAAGAATAGGTATAAGGATATTCTTGGATGAAGTAAAACTGGTGCCTATTCCCTGCCCTCAGCTTCCCCTTCATTTTTAATTGCTTCCTTCCTCCCACTGTTTTCCAGACTATCTGAATTGTATCAGTCCCGGGCATATGGGAATGTGAGTACCCCTGATGGCTATTGTCAGCCAGGAAATAACTACCATTCAAACACTAATGATCATGTTTGGCTGATAAAATGGATATGAATATTAAATTTGAACCATCTTGGCACCATCTCAGATTTTTTAAAAAATAGACATGAGAACTGATAGCTTTGCATAAACATCTTTCTTGCTATTTTCTCTGATTCTGACATATTCACATTTCACTAAATGAGTGAACACCACCATCCACCCACTCACCAGGCGTTCACTTTATATATAGCTATAGATATTCAATGCAAGACCACGCAAAAAAAGGATTCATGTAACAGAATTTGTGGTGAGATTTTTGAGGAAAGCAAGGGATAAAATTTTTATATTTTAATTTTTGTCCTGTCTTGGTTCTACGAAATGCTCTTATTAAGTCACTACATATCCATGTACTTGAACTTCCTGGTTATTCATTCATTAACTTGTATAATACATTCAATATCTATTTTGTATGCCCTGAATATCTGGGACTATGCTAGGTTCTGGGAATACAGAGTAGAATGTTATAGTTCTTGTGTAAATCTCATGGCTGCTATTATAGAAGTAAATAATAGTAACTCAATAGTAACTGTTACATCTGGGAAAGAGAGGGATGTGAGAAAAGGCTTTATAGACTTGGATGATGGTCCTTCAAAGATAAGGTATTATCCAGATGGAAGACTTTATCTTTTATACCTTTGTACTGAGTACTCACCCTGTGTCATCCACTGTTTGGGGAACTACAGACGTGATAAGGGCTAAGATCTCAGAGATTGTTAGGGTTTATATTTTAGAAGGCCTTATATACCATGCCTGGAGCTGGCCTTCATGTCTGAGGATTTTGTGAATAGTGAATCTCAGGACTGGGTTCTCAGAACTGCTTTCTAACTCACTGACATGATAGGGAACACAAAAAAGAATTACATAGGGTTCTTCACTTTAAGCAATGAGATATGTAGGGACCTTTTCAGATGGACAAGGTCATTTGGTTCTATTTGTGTTCTCACCCTGAAAATATTCCACATTTCAACCAAAATAAGAAAAATATTACTCTTGGCTTAAAGTTTTACTCTCCATTTCTTTGCACTCCTTGGGTTTTGGAAAGTCCCTGAAATCAGAGCTCTTGGAGCTCAATTTGAGGGTTTTGAGGGATTCAATTCCTAGAAAAAAAGGTGGTAAGATGTCCCAGAATGTGCCTTGCATCCTCTATAGGCAGCTAAGCACAGTATGGGAACAGGAAGAAAAAAAGAAAGAAAACAACAACAACAACAACAAAAACAAAAAAAAAAAAAAAAAACATGAAGGCCTCAAGTTTGCATGCTTCCAAGAATGAGGGCTTAGCATTTTAAACAGGCTACAACTTGGTTTCAGTTTACAGTGAGAATCCCTGCTTACTTTCAAATTCTGGCTACAACTCACTGACTCCAACTGCTGACTACCCACCCTTTCATTTAAAAAAAAAATTCTGACCTAAGAGTCACTTAATTCTGGCTCCAGTAAGATCACTCTTTAGGACATTTTGTTTTGTTTTATGTTTTTTGACAGAACCTGCCCAGATTTGTTTATAAAAACAGCAGCAGCCTAGGAGTCACACCAATCCTTCGGTCCTCACATTGGCAGACATTGGCCTCCACTGAGCAGCTTTCGTAGGTTCATGGGCGCCTTTGGGATCCAGAGCTTGAGCCTGAGCTGTAGCTGTAGCCTGGGGCCTGGTTTGAATCTTGGCCTTAAACTTTGGCCAGCAGAGCCTGAGACCCTTGGCAATGTGGGCACGAGCATGTTTCCCAAGCTTGGGATAAGTGATATAGGCAAGTTGGCTGAGCTTGTGATGGCCATCCTTTGGGGTCTCGTGCTTTCTGAGGGTGTTGATAGCCTTGGCATATGTGCTCATGGCCTTGGCATTGTTGGCCTGCATCTTCTCCAGGTCCTTCTTTTTGTGATTCTTGGCAAAGCACATGTTCCTTAGGAACTTAGGGTACACCCCCTTAAGACAGTCATATATTTGTGATCCGGGTTTCTTGATGCTGTTCTATGTCATTCTTGGGACTAATTGTATGTGGTGTGGTTCTTGGACTTAGCCATATCTTCACCAAGGCCTGCGGCTCCTGAAGCGCCTGGGACTGGAAGAGCCAGGACACATGTTTTCCACAGAACAATTTAAATACAGTGATCTCTTATGATCCTCTAAAAGAGCACACTTCCTTCCCCCCACCCCCTCACCTCCAATCCAGAGACTCCAGATAGTCCTGGGAGAAATTTAAGCTCAACGACAGCCTGGCCTGGACATCCTCCAAAGTTGTCCAGGAAAGGATGCTCATACATATGCCCCTTCCCCTTCCCTACAGACATGGGACCTGGATTATCTTCTTTATTACAGCTCCACTATGGGTGGGGTGGACCATGCCAGTGAGAACAGGCTGAGCAAGTTCCCTCTTAGTGGGATATTGGCATCCCTTGCCTCAACAGCTGTCTGATAACCTATAGCCAAATACACCAGCAGCTGACTCCCAGGAAGTCCAGAGAGCTATGTTTGAGGGTTTCGGCTATTGTTGTAACAATGTTTTTCATCCATACCAGCTTCTGTGAATGAGTGGGCGAAGCAAAACTTTCTGCAGAAGTAGCCATACTTCTTCTTCACCCACATCCCCTTACCAATTCATTAGATTTGGGGAAAGTGTTCAATTTGGCAGGCTGAGTTTAAAATGTAAAGTTCACTGAGTAACTCTAGTCTGTATCACTCTCAGTTGGACCTAATGAACATTGGCCTGTGGACTGAAGGGTCCCAGGGTTCAATTCCATCGGGGCAAATGTCAGATTGCGGGCTCAATCCCAAGTAGAAGGGAGAAGGGGTTTCAGGAAGCAGCCAAACAATGATTCTCTCTCATCATTGATGTTTCTATCTCTTTCACTCTCTCCATTCCTCTCTGAAATCAATAAACACTTCAAAAAAGGTATTTTTTTCTAAATAATCATGACATGAAAATAATGAATACTCCCCCTAAGAAATATATATTTGTATTCACCAAGTTCCTATGTCCATTCCAGAACGAGAGGAGGCAAGTGTATGGAAATTTTAGAATAACATTTTTATGCTTGTTTCTAGCCATTCGCAATTCAGAATTTTTGAGGTCTAATCTTGGAACAATATACTATGAGATAAAGAAAATCTGTTCTAAATGTTTACAGCTTGGCCATTCACATTTGGTCTCAATTTTATATTAAGAATTTAAATAATAATAATATACAAAAATACCAGACTGTCTGAATCACTACCACACTTCTGAAAAATCTTACTGCAGGCTAGGCTACATGGTTAGTTTCCCTATAGTAATTATTGAAGTTTGTCCAATTTAATACTATTGGGAAAGGAAAAAAACTAATGCACTGATTATAAAAGATGTATCAGTGTATGTCTGATTATTAAATTTGGACCCATTTGACTCTTGCCATTTTCTTAGTGATTATTAACTCTCTGGGTCTAATTTTCTCACCCCATTTTATATCTAAAGGTATGAACTAGACAATCTCTAATATTCATTCCATACTTAAAATAATATAGTATAGGTATTTTGAAGGACAATTTCTTAATACAAAGAAGTGAAATGTTGGAGGTGTGGGATAAATGTGAATTCACAAAGGAGTTATTTATAGAACAAAGTAGAGAAGAGAACATGGTTGTGACTAGAGATTTAGCTTGCAATGTTCATAACTGTAACTTATTTGGTTTAATTATAAATCAAATAAACCCTCAGATTCCCTTGCACTAAAGTAAAATAGTCCTGTCATGTCCATTATAATAGAACTAGAGGCCCAATGCACAATATTTGTGTAAGGAGTTCTGCCCTCGCAGCCTTGGCTGGCCCTCACAGCCCCTCACAGCCTCAGCTGGCTCTTGTAGACCCTCAGAGCCTTGGCCTGCCCTCACAGCCCCAGTTTCATCCAAAAGGTATTTCTGACAGTTGTCTGGAAGGATGTCTGGATGGTCATTCTGCTGTTTGGTCTAATTAGAATATTAGCTCTTTATTATTTTTTAAATTATATTATATATTTTTTATTATATATGTCATACTTCAGGAGACAATACAAGATAGTGATATCTGAAGAGGTACAAAAGGGGAAGAGACCTTGAGCCCCAGTGTCAAATTTTTTGGAGGAGAAATTAACATAGTACAAAAAATACTGGCAACAGAAATTTACTCCAAAAAACAGAGAATTTTCTTTTTGGCAGGGTAAATTGAAAAAGTAGAGGAGAAAGACAGAAGGAGAAGTTATTTCATCTTAATTAATTGAAAAAGAGAGCAAAGAAACAGGAAGATTCTAAACTCAAAACCCTTGACTAAGAAACTATTGATAATATCATTTTCACCCCACCACTAATATCATTAACATTTCATAGCTTCATTGGTAACCAGTTGCTACAATATGGTACTTTAAAACTTAGATTCAACCTATAATCCACTTATATTAGTTACATTTTCCTAGCTTTTCTTTTCACATGAACCAAAAAACTTTATATCTGAGTCTCATGTTATTCTTCACAATGCATAAGTTCTGATCTAACATACTGAAATATGTATTATATTTCAAGGAGTGCCCTATATAAGAGATGTCATAAAAACCACCTACATTAAGAGAAAGCTGAGTTATCAAAATGGATGTTTTGCAGATTTACATTCTTTAATGAACATGTCACTATATGGGACAGATAAGGTGACTTCCTCTGAAAAAGAATACACAGTTTAATGAATTATTTTGGCAGCTGATTATATTTTGGCAGCTCTTTTGAATCATCGTTTTAGTAATCTCTTCAACTGATTTAAATCTTTTTAGTTAAATCTCACATGTTTATATCTCACTTCCCACATCTAAGTATTTGAGAGTAAAGACTACTTCTTATACTTATTTGTATTGCATAACATTTCTAGCATAACAGGTGTTCAGTTATCATATAAGTGCTTGAATTGGCTGACCTACAATTTACCTAACAATGCAGAAATTTGGAATTTATTACTTTGGTTATTCCTTAATTTGATATTTTAGGTTTATTATTAAGTCTGAATATCAAATTCCTGTAATTTTTGTTGTTGTTAATCCTCACTTGAGATTTTTTTCCATTGATTTTTAGAAAGAGTGGAAGGGAAGGAGAAGGGAGAGGGAAAGAGAGAGAAAAAAACATTTATGTGAGAAAATCACATTGGTTGCCTCCTGTATGTGCCCTGACCAGGGTCGGGGATCGAACCTGCAACCCAGATGCATGCCCTTGATCAGGAATCAAACCCGTAACTCTTTGGTGCAAGGGCCAATGCTCTAATCCTTGAGCAACACCAGCTAGGGCTTTTAATGAACAGTTTTAATGAACAGTTTCATTCTTTTTTAATTTTTTTATTGATTAAGGTATTACATATGTGTCCATATTCCCCCATTGCTTCCCCTCCCCACTCCCATACATGACCTCACCCCCTAATGTCTTGCATCATTGGTTATGCTTATATGCGTGCATACAAGTCCTTTGGTTGATCTCTACTTCTACCTCCCTCTCCCCAGCCTTCCCGCTGTAATTTGACAGTCTGTTCAATGCTTCTCTGCCTCTGTATCTATCTTTTTTTCATCAAGTTATAATGTTTTTTGTTATCCATAAATGAGTTAGATTACGTGGTATTTTTCTTTCACTGACTGGCTTATTTCACTTAGCATAATGCTCTCCAGTTCCATCTATGTTTTTATTGGTTTTTAGGGAGAGAGGAAGGGAAGGGGATAGGGATAGAAATATTGGTTAGACATTGATTGACTGCCTTCTGCATGCCCCATACTAGGGACTGAGCCTGAAATCCAGGCATGTGCCTGACGGGGAATCAAACCAATGACTTCTTGGTTAAAAGGTTAATTTTCAAACACTAAGCCATACCAGCTGAGCATGAACAGTTTCTAATGAACATTTCCTATTTGTATGCCAACAGACAACAGTAAAAGCTTGCTTTATCAAAATGTTTAGCAAACATATTTTTGCAGACATTGTTAATATAAACCTAAATCCATGTGTTTAAATTAATGTTATAAAAACAATCCTAAATTAACTATTTTTACTAAAATGTAGATAATTAATTTGACCTGAAGCCCAAAGTGTTATAATACAAATGATAAACAAGGTGTTTATTAAACTTTTAATATAAACCAATAATTTTCAAAAGTATTTGAGAATAGAAACTTTTTTTTAAATATATTTTATTGATTTTTTACAGAGAGGAAGAGAGAGGGATAGAGAGTTAGAAACATCAGGGATAGAGAGTTAGAAACATCAATGAGAGAGAAACATCGATCAGCTGCCTTCTGCACACCCCCTACTGGGGATGTGCCCATAACCAAGGTACATGCCCTTGACCGGAATCAAACCTGGGACCCTCAGTCTGCAGGCTGATGCTCTATCCACTGAGCCAAACCGGTTTCAGTGAGAACAGAAACTTTTCAAAATATAATTTATACAAATACCTCAAATGAAATAGATAAATACATGTTATTAATGTAAAATTTTGTAATTTAATATAAAGTCATAATAACAGATTTGTAACAACTTATAAATTCCATTAGTGAAAACAGACTTTTAATAAACACAAACCATTTAAATTAGTAATTATAAAGTCTTAGTCTCAACAATAGGTTTTATTTTTATAATTTATTTTATATATGCTAGTAGTAAAAAATATGATTCACAAAACTAAGAAATAACAAAGTATACTAGTTTTGTGTGCTTTTTTCAGATTGCTTTATTATCATCAGGATATTTCTCAATTAAATCCACCCAGAAAATTGACTATAGATAAATGGAAGATCTTTAATACAAAAGTAAAAACATTAAAATTATCCAAATAATAGACTTATCCTAAAATGATTTGAATGATTAGTCATTCTTAATAATAATAATGTTATAATAATTCAAAGAAATATTTGTTTTTATGTGTG